ATTTCAAATCATATCGAAGGTTGAATTTTTATGTAAATTTATGAGGATATTGTGGTAAAATTTTATTTTTTAAAATGATTTTACAACTTATTTTTATGTCTAGTATTGTAATTGTTTTTAATAGTTTCTTCACAAAATATTTCTTTGTAAAAAATTTAATAATGCAATAAAATAAGATTATCAGATTTAATGTTTTAGTGTTCTTAGTCATTCATAAGATGACTCTGATTGCTGTATGTTTGGTTAAATATTTTTTAGACCCCCTTACTTCGAACACCATTGATTGGAGAAAAAATAAAACTTCGAATTTATTTTAAACTACCCCCACCCCGACTTAAACAAAGGAAGATGTTTTTTTTTCTTTTTTTTTTTTTAAAATTAAAGTCAGTGGAACTAAAACAGGACTAGCCAAAGCAAGTAAACAAATGACGATCAAAACCACTTTGAAAAATCCCTCTTGCAGTCAAGAGACTCCTTCATATTTCCTTAACTTTTCCCCTAAGTACCAAGTAAGAAATTGCGATTACCAATGTAGAAGTGAAACAAATGTCATTTTAGTTTCACTTTCACTTTGTACTAAGTGGGAATCATAATACCGATTTACGAAACAAAATGGGCAATAGAAATGCACGTACTGAAGATAGATTCAATATTTCTTTGATTGGAGAAGCATGTAAGTTTATATATTTTTAATAATATTTATTTATTTATTTAACCTTATCTTTAAATTGAGTAATAATTTCTTTCAAATAGGGCAATGGTGTCTGTAGATAAAAAATATTCTTATCATTAACATTTTGCAAGTGTGATTTTGCATTGCTTTATTAATCTTTGTCATAAAAACAGCATTATTTTATACACAAAAATAACTGAAAAGTAGTAATCAGCAGACATATAATTTGTTTGCAATTCTTCATGGCATCTGATTGAGTTAAAATCGGAAAGTTTGATTTCGTTATTATTATTACCCATATTTGAACTTTAGTTCAATAATACTCAAAAACTCTTTAAAATTTTAATGTCCAATTTTTAGAAAGAACAGTTTTTTTTGTATGCTTGACATTTGAGGCTGAAACCATTTACTTGTTATTTTAATCTAGCTTAAAATTTATTTAAAAAAAATTCAATATTTAACAATGTAATTAGTTCTATTTCATTTTTTTAAAAATGTTTTTAAGTTTTTAGTTCAAAATACAGGAAGTTTAGTTCAAAGTGCATTACTATTTGACATATTTTATATATATATATATAGAATATGTCATATTATGTTTATAAATATGTTTCTATTATATATATATA